CATAGTTGTCCTGAAAGAGGATGTTGCAGAAGGAGCACCCTTCTTGCAGGCGCATCCGCACTGCTGGAGGCACGCTGGCACCATGGCCTCCGCACTCGCAAAGATGCAGTATGGCGAGATCTGGAATGTCCGAGAAGATTCTGCGCACATCGTTGCACAGTCGGCTCATGTATTCTGTCCAGCGTGGCGCAGTTGGCTGCAGCTGCGCCGTTTGCAAGCCAACGTTGTAAAAGGCCAGTCGCAATGTTGCAAAGATAGGCGCTGCAGGTGCAGCCACACTGCGACGCGCAGCAGGACCGGATGTCCGCGAAGAGGTGGCAGGTGCAGCCGCAGAGGGAGCAGCGGGAGAGACACGGAGGGTCGCCATTGCGGGGGCAGAAAAGGACGGATGCGGGTGTCAAAGTGTATGACATAGTGAGGAAGAGGTACACTGTGGAGGAACAAACCGCCATGATGATACACGAGTCTTGGTGGTGGATTTTTGAAACATGTGATACATGAGTCTTGGTGGTTGATTCCTGAAACATGAAAAGCATGTATGAGCAGAGACGTTCAGAGCGAGGAGGAAAAATAAAAAAAGAACAAAGAAACCCCTTGGAAACCTTGTCTGACATGCAACCGACATGCCATGAAAACCATGCAAACCGTTCATGCAACTCAAGCGTCAGATTCAAATCAGACGGTGAGCTCGAAAAACTGAGCAGCCACACTTGATTTTCCGCCTCAGCCCGAAACAGATAGCAGTGATGTAAAACGAGACGAGGTCAGAATTGCTTGGATGCCTTCCGCGCGCACCCGCAGCGGAAAAGCGGCACGGAGGCAGACAGGATCAGCGCCGGTGACTGCAGTTGACGCAGTGACATCAGGAAAGTCGGGCACGCCAGACCCCAATCTCTCCTGTGGTAGGCTGGAATGGGTGCGTGTCGTCGGTGTATTCCCCACGCGAGCGCGCAACCGCAGCTCGGAATGCATCACTGTCGTGGACCTGTGCAACCGTCTGGAGCGCCAGGTGAGTACGCATCCAATGGCGGACCCCATTCTGGGCCAGTGTGAGGGCAAGCGTTTTGTGACCAAACCATTTCTGCCAATAGAGACGCTGCAGTTGTCGCGCTTTCATTGCGGGACGCTCACCGGTGTCATAGTCGACAGCCCACTGCAGCACCATCCGATCCATTGCTTGGCACTCGGCGTCCGTGCATAGATGGCCATCGGGTCCAGCTCCCAGATATTCAACGCGAAGAACCATCGCACGATACCAGTAGCGGAGCAGTATGTCACCCAGCGCCAGATTGTCTCGCAGCTCTTGTCGCTTCAGCAGACGCAAGACCAGGTGCAAAGCCGTGTGGTCTTCTTGCTGCCGCGAGTAGTCAAACCAGGTGGAAAGATACTGTCTGCAGAAGTACGTCAGCTGCTGCGCCTGATAGAAAAGGACCGCATCGCCATAGTACTCACAAAACTCTTCCCGTGAATACCGCTCGCCATCCCAGGCCAGGGCGCTGTCAGGCATCTCTTCTGGTAGTGGTTCGTCTATATACGCGGGCACGGGCATGAAAGTACGCCCCTCCTGTTGAACGATGGCCACGGGAGGTTGCGTCAGACGCACGCCAGCGGAGTGCGCAGCCGCAACTCCATCACCACCAGTGACACTGTTACGGCTACGTGGGCTTTGGCTTCCTCTGTGGTCATCCTGCTCGTGTGCTCGGCCGCGATGCATGGAGCGCGCACCCGCAACTCCGGGGCGACGAGAAGCTTTGTGCGAACGACTTGCTTCCTGTCTCTGTGGACGAGACTCACCGCGTGCATCTGCAGCGGCGGCGGCTGGCGCATCGTGAACATCCTGTCTGCATGGCTGGCGCCTAGGACTTCTGGAGCGCGCATCCGCAACTCTCTGGGGAGAAAAAGGAGACACAGCCTCCGCCACAGACCTGTCCTTCGGCCGACGTGGAAGTGGAGAACATGAGGCAGATGCGGCGAGAGATGCCTCTTGCCCCTCGCCAGGAGCGGAGCGCGCAGCCGCAGCTCGAGGCGGGGAAGGCGATGCGGAAGTAGACGGATCAAAATCCGGAGAGGTCGTGGAATCATCTTGTTGTTGCGCCATCTTGGTCGCACACGTTCGGACACAAGGGGATCCGAAGCTGAAGCCAAGCGGCGCTATGGAAAGAAAGTGGATCCCAAGCAGCTAAAACAATGTGCCAGCGGGTTTGAACCAGCTGTCAAAAAAAAACATGAGAGCACATATAGAAGCAGTGCGGGATTGAACCAGCGATTTAAAAAAACAGATGAGAGCACACATAGAAGCACATATATGAGAGTATACATAGGAAAAGACCCATATGAGAGCACATCAGAGCACTCATATGAGAGCACAAGTGTGACAGCACATAGAAGCACCAACCTGAGAGCACATAGGTTAAGGAAGCTCTTGGCTCGACCACTACCGTCACCCCCACCAGCAGTACCACCAGCACCGCCACCACTGATAGCAGCAACCGCCCGGCAGTGGCTTTGTTGGCCAAAGTCCAAAGTGCCACAGGAATCTCCATCAGGCTCGGCTCTTCCGTGAGAGTGACTTTGGTGTAGTGATGGAGTCGTGGTGATCCAAAAGAGCAATCCCAAAAGAGCGGTCTAAGACAGCAGTTAGGAAGGAGCGCCCGTGAACGAAGCAGCCATGAATCATGCTCAAGCACTACTTCAATACTTTGGAATGACTATAGAAGAATGTAGCAGTCAGACAGTACGAAAGTAGAAGCGCGCCCACCCGAGCAGCGGAATTGTGCTTTTTCAAGAGCCGCGCGCAGAGAAGAAGTAGCAAAACCCTCACGGTGTCACATGAGAAAGCGAAGCCAGCTGTGCGCAAACGCAACAGCCATCCGAGTACAAGCAAGCAAAACCCTCACGACGTCACGCGAGACAGCGAAGTTAGCTGTGCGCAGCCGCAACAGCCATCCGAGCACAAGCAACATACCAAGCCCAGCAGGAAGACTGGCTGGGCGGCAGTGGAAGCACTTGGAACCGTCCGCGCGCAGCCGCTGCGAAGACGCAAAAGAAAGGTCACAGAAAGCCATCAGCGGTTGAGACGACGCTGAAACCTGGCAGTAAAGGCTTTCCGCGAAGTCACCGCAGGACCACTAGACAGAACCACAGGCTCAGCGTCGCCAGCGGCACTCTTTCCGGGATGCAACCGAACATGACATCCATCCTGCTGCCACACCTGGAAGTCCACGCGAGGGGCGTGTGTATTGGGGTCCAACTCCTCCGGGAAGGAGGCGATGCCAAAACACACCACGCCCCTGGGACCGCACGCCACGGTCTTGGACGCCTCTGGCAGGGTCGCGATGAAATCGTGCCAGGGACATGTCTCCGAATTGGAGAGCTCTTCCCAGTATCCTTCATTGGAGTGATCAGGAAACCAATGGTCATTGATCCACGCCGTCCGCTCAAGTAAAAGAGAACGCATCTCCTGTCGTGGCGCGTGGCGGCGAAGGGCGCGTGTGTGAATGGTAATCACAGCCCTTGGTTGCTTTGTCATGCAGACCAAGGCGTCGTGCGCGCCGGTAAGATCGACCACAGGGACCGAAGGATATGGTGCTGTGGACGCGTGGAAAGCCAAAGAATGCCCGTGTGCAGCCACAACGGAGTCACCCAGTTCTGCCTCGGGGGCCAGCCATGTAGACGCAGCAACAGGAGGCAGCGCCTCCTGCGCGGCGTGCGGAGCTCCGTCATGCGCCATGGGTCCAGAACGAAAGCAGGCGAGAAGCAGGTTGTCGAGCGGGTTTGAACCAGCTAGAAAGAAAGATGCGGTGCAGGTGCAGTCATGCAGGCGCCGTGCTCGTGCCAATTTTGGTATTTGTGCTCGTGAGTCGGGGTTCTTACGGTAGGAGGTAAGGCTGGGTTTAGATCAGGGTTAGCGTGTTCGTCTGGAGCATTTTGACTGGCCCGCGCGCGCAAAAGTTACTGTGTGAATTCCTCATGTCCAGTCCGACTGCGCAGGTTCGCACAAAGTGGTGGGGACGCTGTCCGCTGTTCCGGGGCGGTGCTCTCGTGCAGTGCCGTGCTCGTTTTCGGACAGGAAGTGCATTTGGCCTGAACGCGAATCTCCTCGACCTGTCACAGTGGCAGTACCGCTTGTCCCAAGCTGGAGTGTCATGGCCCCAGAGATCTACTTAACTAGTCATGACATGTCATGACAAATTTTGCTAGAACGGCAGGCGCAAGGAATTGGACACATTGGAGCCTTGAAAACATCATTTTACGTGGCAGGTGCAAGGCATCGGAGCCTTTGTAAATTTCGTGGCAGGCGCAATGTTTTAGAAGACTCACCTCGTTCGCAAACACAACTGAGCTGGCGTCTGCTACGAAGGCTGACGTCCTTGTGGCTACACAGGAAGCTGGAAGGGTCCAAGAACTCTTGCTTGCTTTGGGGCCTGGTGAGAACAGCCAATCAAGATGCAGGGCTGTGTTACGTGATTGGGGCGTGGCACGGTACACTGCCCGCAGAGGTACTGAGCGTTCGTTGCATCCCGTGCATCACCATGCACCCCACAAACACGAACAAAAAAATCGCCTCCAAAACGACCTCAAAAACCTTCCCTGGCCGCCATGGGGTTCAGCAGGAGGCTCCGAGTTCAGTTAGCACTTTTGCGGGCTACCCCCCCACACCCCCTAGAAGACTCCCGTCGTTCGCAAACACAACGCAGCTGGCGTCTTCTACGAAGGCTGGCGTTCGTAACATACACTCAGGAAGTGCAAGCAACACATATTTTCTTTCAGTTGCATGCGTCAATCCAAGGTGCACGATATCCAGCGCGCAGCGGCGTGGCCGGCAATCTTTCAAGGTAGGAGAAGAAAGTCATCGGCCTCGCGCAGCCGCAGAGTAACACAGGTTCATGCAGAATGACACATGAGCAACAGATGCCTCATGGAAAGTCAAAAAAGATTCTGTAGTAAGAGAACCATGTTGCGCGCAGTCGCAGCAACAGCGGAAGGGAGACAACTATGAGCTAGCCTGTGCCCGGGGTGTCAGCTGCCGTGAACGGTACCTCCTGGGACGCCTTCACTGGACTCTCCCATGTGTCCCCTGCGGGATAGGCCGAGATGCGTGGACAAGCGATGCGGGAGGCACTCTCCGCCAATGTGTCCGTCCAGGCTGGTAGGGGATCCGACGTCTGTTGACGAGAAGCGATCAAGGCAGTCAGTTGCTCCAAACGCCGCAGACATATCATTGCAGCTTCTGCATCGCCTTCTTGCAGCAACTGCAATTGTTCCACCACATATGTGGTTTCACTTGATGTAGTGCTCAGATCGGAGATCAATGCCAGAGCGTATTGGGTTTTGGTTCCAGTCCGTGGAGGATCCAAAATGAAATCCTTCAAAGCATGTCGCTGACAATATGCCACCACAGTCACAGGGCCTGCATCTGGAGCCAAAGCGTCGCGAACATTCTTGGTCACCAACCGAATGCCATAACTGTCTGAGCCCAACGCTTCTTGCTGCGTCCGTTCTTTCGAAAGAAGCATCACCAAGGCCTTCGCACAAGTAACCCGGCGACGTTTAGCGTGGCGTTCCAAGGCACCAGTCTCCAGGTGCGCTACCACAACCTCTGGCTGCACTTGAAAAACGCCAAAACTATTCTTGGTCAATTGCGACAGCAATGCAGCCGCAAACGCGTCTCCGCTGCACGGCACATGGCTCAAGGCATGAACAACGGCCAGCACAGCCTTTGTGGGCGTCGCTTGCAGGTCCTGCTCCGAAGCTTCCACAACTAAGAAGCGCATCCGCTTCGAGGAACTCGTCGTGGAGACGCTGTCAGTCGCCTGTGTGGCACCAGAGTCATTGTCACCACGAAGTGTGACCAAGATCTTGACACTGGCAAGCAAAGGCCACGATAACAGGTCACCGCCATGCTGACTATTGAACTCCATGACGGCATTCTCGTGATCAGCTGTATCGATTTTGGCGAGCTGGCAGGCTGCCTTTTGTCGAATGGCGACTTCCAAGCTGCCGCTACAATCTCGAATCCGTGTGGACCAAAACACACGTCGTTCCACCGTGTGGTGCTCCGGTGGGTAAGGCACATGGATGTTGTTGAGTTGAAACAACTTGCCATGCAAGGCAGCTGCGTCTTGTTGGCTATACGCATCCAGCAAAGCACAAAAGGATAAAAAGCCTTCTTTGCTTGTGTAGTCCGTAGAAACCGAGGGCTGCCATTCATGCGTCAGCGTCTGCCCTGCTTCCTTCCAAATCTCGTTCTGTCTTTCGTCCTGCGCAGCCGCACGGACGGAGACAGCCACTTCACAGCGAAAGTCTTGAAAAGATGGAGTGACCTTGATTTCAGCACCACGGACTTGCACATCGAAGCCAAAGAAAGTCAACGGCTTTTCCAGATTCACCAAAGCAATAAATTCTTCCAGTTTCGCTTGTGATTCCGCGAAAATGGACGTGGTGATCTCTGCCCGATGTCCGTCTTGCACACAAGACTCGTCTCGAAGCACGACGTCCTGCGCCACACGTTGACCCTGCCGGGTGGTTACGGTACGCGGGTCTCCGCGCAGCCGCACGAGACTCGTGATATCGAAGCGTTGTCGACCATCTGTTAACTCCAGAATGTCTTTCAGACGTGTCGGTGGGCCCAGGCAAAAGTTGGGAAATTGTCCCTGTAGAACCGAATCGAAGTGAGTCTGTCGCAGATCCAGAACCACTTTCAACGGAGTGTGAATATATTCGGCTACCTCTTTCTGGAGAAAGACGACAGATTTCATTTCGAAGTGCAAACCCACCTGGAAGCGCGCAGCCGCAGCTTCCAACTCGCCAGACTTCTGTTGCCACATGACCATGCGACCAGACACATATGCACCTTCTTCCGCGCTAGCAAACAGCACGTGCAACCGCTTTCCCTTGGTCGGCGCGCCTTGCCGGGTATATGTGTACTCTTCCACCTTTTGAAACTTTACTTGGACCACAAACCGACCGTGTCGCGCGGCGGCCTGCAGTTCTGACAAAGGAGAGCGACGCCTATCTTCACCTCCGCCCGGTTTCTCGACTTTGACCGTCATAAGAGTCAACACTTGTGGGACTCACACAGGTTCAAGCCATGCATAGAACACAGCGTCCCTATGCGATGCATTAGAAATTGAGCCACAAAACCAACATCCGAGTCGAACTCCATCAAAAGGACATGAACCCGATGCAGAAAAGGTTGCAGACCTCGATCTCAGTAGACAAGAAGGTCAGAGAAGTAACAAAGCTAGAGTCACAAATGCTCTCATGACAGCTACTACCTGTAGCTAGTAAAGGTAGAGTAGAAGCCAAGAAACCACTGTAGCCAAGGCGACACCGAAGCGAAGTATTTCTTTTGATTACTTTTCCTCTCTTTGCTTCAGGTACTGGAGGTGATCTGGTGACATGAGGGTCACCATCGAAGAAGTCTGAGACATTCCTTTGCGAAGGTTTGTGTCTCGGATTCTTTGTCCGAGAACAAAACATGGAATCTGGCAGGCAAAGTATTTGGAGGTCCTTGTTCCAAGATGGCACGATTCTTATTGTCGAGACCGACAGATCGCAGACGATCCAAGGAGCGCACACGTGACAAGGCCACATATGCAGCCAACCACCTCATGTCTGCTTGGAGTCGACGAGGGAAGCGCCAATGAAAGATCAAACCAGGATCTGTCGTTGTACCTTGCAACACATGCAAAGTACTGGCTTTCACAGTCACCAACGGAATCTGCGTCCTACGAATCTTGACAGAGATCTCTTCTTCTGTACCAGTAGCAAGGGATCCAGGGATCGTCACTTTCAGCGACCAACCTTGTTGATTCGTAAATGGTCGCACCAAAAACACGCCACGCATCCGCAAGCATGCAGCACACTCGGCGTCCATGTGCGGTGTATGTTCAAGACAGGCTTCATCGGGCAGAAATTTCTGCGGCACATCTTGCAGCTCCACATAAATAGCTTCCGGAAAGCGTCGCAAAACGACGAAAGATGCATGCAAATCAGTGCGACTCCGATCCTCCGAAGCAAACGCAAAACCCCGAATGATTCCAAGTGTATCTACCACCACATGAGGAGCAGCGACTGTCTGAGTGAAGCGCACTTCCATACCAACGTGATAGAGACCATAGTGAGGAAGCCGTCCGGTCTCGTTCATGTTTGGGTGCGCAACCACAGCCCGGGCGATAGCAGCAGCTTTGTCGGCCTGCAGATTTTGGATCATGTCAACAGCACGAGTGGCATACAAGGTCTTGCCCGCTGCTTTTGCTGATTCAAAACTGCGAATGGTATAGGCCATGCTAACCACAGACCAAGTGTAGCAAGCTTGGAAAAAATGCTCAGTGCCGGACAAGCGAGCGCTGTCGCCGGATCCACTGATGTTGGTATTCACCAACGCCTGCCATTCGCTCTGCGTCAACAACGCACCACCCGGAGTTCGCATTTTCCTCAGGATACATTCCAAAACTGGATCCTGGAAACGCATGGCCGTCTGCAGGCGGTACACATAACGGAATTGACCGAAGAGATGCACGCCGGCTTTATGTTCATCGCTGGTTCCATCCACACTGGCAAGCAAGGAATGCGAAAAAGGAACAGGAGGTAATTGCAGTTCATCCCCAGAAATGACGACCACCGGCATACGCCCCCAGCTCTCGTCCAATTCCGCATAACGATGAAGCTCCAGCCCCAGGGCCCTTTGCCGACCATAAGACTTCCGCAGCGCATCCGCATGCAGCATCTGACCAATGCATTGAGAGAATTCATCGATGACGATGGCAGCCAGCGGGACAGTGTTGCATTCCAAAGCCTTCCGTGTCTCTGCGGAAACACGCAAATGCACGGTCCGCAAAGATGAATCTTTGCGCAGCTTGTTTGCGCTGTGCATGGTTCGGCCATGAATCTGACGAGCGGCTTTGTTCGAAGGCGCCTGCGCTTGCATGGAACCATCACCAAAGACTGCTTCAAACAACGGTCTTAAAACCATGTTGATGATCCGAGTCTTCCCACATCCACCGCCTCCAACCAGCAGACATCGCAACAGAACACGATCCTTGGCGAGCATACCATCGCCACTTGGCGGAAGTGATTCAAAGGCATCTTGCAGAATTTTTGCAACAATGGCGACGAAGCCAAGTTGATCGCGGTTCAAAGTGGCTCTGTCGGCCAACACTTTCGCCACCGCCGCCGGACCGCGCAGTCGCAGATCCGCCGCCACCAAGCGCACAACCGCTTCTTCTTCTGCGTGTGCAACCGCAACGGTCGCCTCCTCCGCTGCGTCATCTGCTGAATCCATTTTGCGATAGAACTCCACACGTTGTTGCTGAGCAGACAACAAAAGCTCAACGGACGCTTGTGGCATCCATCCTCCAGAGTCCTCCACGGGAAAGTGTTCATGGCAAAGTGCCACTTTTGTGTTCAATGCTTTCTCCACTTCCAACATGAAGCGCACTGCATCCGAAGTCCGGGTGCCACGCTGCTTTGCGGATTCCAACTCTGAGACATGCAGCAGATGTGCTCGCACGGCATCTGGATCCTACAGATGAATAAGCGATGTGGGTAACATATACCATTGTCATGCTGTTCCTTCTGAAGACCACGTCATGTGCATCTCATGTCTCATGACCTCTCTCTCTGTACATATATTGATGTATACGCATCAGTGTCTACATGAAACTATACGCAATTTATTCACGACAGAGGAACCATTGGACGCTTATAATATATCGATCAAGCCATGGACACGGACAAGACATCATAACATAGCAACCAACAAACCCGAAGAGGTAAGAAAGAATAAGAGTTTGAGACATAGCAGTCCTGCGGCAGGAGCGTCATGAGTTCAATGCCTCCTGCCATGGGTCGCTCCACGTTCGCTTCACCCACTCGGTCATCTTCGACAGCGTCGGGTTCACCACCGACATTTTCGATCTCGACCATGATCTGTTGATCATCCGAACGAACAGATGCGGTATCATCTTCGACACTCGCGGTCGTCTTGTCCTTGGCTATCTGAATGGCAGTGTTTCGAGCTTCTGTATGCATGTCCAAGCGGAACACCATGTCCCGTGTTCTATGCGCAACGAACTCAGCCAGATGTAACTGTTCCGCCGCGAATGTATCCGCGACTGGTGCCAAATAAGCAGAAATACAGACTACAAGCTTCTGGAAATTTTGCGTTCCGACGCAGACATGTTTGTTATGTCCATGGTACAGAGCTTGGGAAACCAAAATGTGACACCAAGTGAAACCTTTACCTTCCAGACAGCGAAACGTCGTGGTATCTGCCAGTGTGGGTAACTTCTTCGCTATGCGAATTTTCCGATCAGCTTCAGTGGCCAAAACTTCCACTCCCGCGCGTCGAAGACGCCAAGCAGGAGAGAATCGAATATCCTGAGTCTGCTGGCTACACACATAGGCTGCAGCCAAACTCACAGGGTCAGCACAGGCACCCACTCCGGGACAACGCATCAATCCAAACAGGGTCAACTTGTAGCGAGCGTTTTCTTCACCATTCCCTACGTCCGTGCGACTGCAAGCTGCGCCTACCACGCGTGGCACGGCCATACGAGGAGCCAACCGCTGCCAGTAGGTTTTTGCTTTCAGATAATGCTCATCAAAGAGGAAACAATCGCCCAACTTACCCTGTTGGCGAGGAACGATTTCAATATACGCGACATAACTGTGAAAATTCAAATCTTGTAGGAAGAATCCACGATGCAGCCAATCATCGAAGGTTGAAGCAGTGGCGCGAAACATCCGAACACCAGGTTGTTCCGGCTCCATGTCCACGCGCTCACAACACGGTGCACCCACACATGCTTCATCTCCAGTCTTTGCAACTTCAAGACATGATGCATCCACCGCAACCGCACCATCTCCTTCAACATGTTCACCACTTGCGGCTGTAGACCTCGACTCGGAAATCCGTCGTTTCTTGTCTTCGGAGTGACAACCGTCCTGTTCCAAGGAACTGCGCTCCGCAGAACGTTTGGTAGATTCTCTCGGCAATGGAACCACATGTACCACGTCCACATCAGCTGGACGAGCCGCCTCTTGCACGAAATCGCCGGCCAGTGCTCCGTTCCACAGGCGTTTGCCTTCTTCCAGCAAGTAAAAAACCTTGCTCAAAAACAAAGGACGGTCGATGTGTGTGGCAACGCTGTGCCCACCAGTCAGGACGAAGATTGCAAGCTCACAAGAGGAAAACCAATGAGAGCGGTTGGCGCTAAACAAAATCCGCCGCAATTTGGCACGCGCTAGGTCCTCGGTGGTGCCCAAGATCTTTTTCCCTGCTG